GGATGGGAGAATGAGAGAAGGAGACAGTCAGACTGGTGGCCATAAAGAGATCTTGTCAGGAACCACTGATATGCTAGGAATAGCTGCCTTGCAAGAACATTCATGCCCATATGAGAAAGTCCTACATATACAGTGGGTACGGAAAGTATTCAGACCCCCTTCAATTTTTCACTCTTTGTTATATTGCAGCCATTTGCTAAAATCATTTAAGTTAATTTTTGTTCCTCATTAATGTACACACAGCACCCCATATTGACAGAAAAACACAGAATCGTTGACATTTTTGCAGATTGTGAAAAACTGAAGGGGGTCTGAATACTTTCCGTACCCACTGTACCTAAAGAGTGATCTACTCTACAGTGTCAACAGTAATGACAGCCTTGTGTGAACATAATTGTCAGATTAAGGTCTAAATTCTGGTTAAGCCTTTATTTAAAGTTGTTTACTTGCTCTATAGTTTTTGGAATATAATATACTGTATACATGATAATAAGCATATTCCAAATAAGCTAAAACAAGCGCATTTTCCTCCTAATTTCTTGTTACAAATGCTTTGGCCATTTATGCTGTCTTTAGATATTTCTTCTATGAAATAGCATAATAAATATGCTATTTATTTACATTTTTGTATATGCTAATATATTCTTTTTAATTATAGATTTAAACAAAAATAAGTATTTATAAAAGCACAGAACATGCATTACTATTTTTGAAAGAAGTCTCTTGCTCACTAAGGCTGTATTTATTTGATCAAAACACAATGAAAACAGTAATATTATGAAATATTAGTAGAATAAATATCTCTTTTCTATTTCAATATATATTCAAATTTAATTTATTGCTGTGATAACAAAGCTGAATTTGCAGCAGCCATTACTCCAGTCTTCAGTGTCACATGATCCTTCAGAAATCATTCTAATATGCTGAGTTGCTGCTCAAGAAACATTTCTTATTGTTATAAATGTTGAAAACAGTCGTGCTGCTGCAATTTTTGTGGATTTTTTTCAGGATTATTTGATGAATAGAAAGTTCAAAAGAACAGCATTTCTTTTTGAACATTTGAAATAGAAATCTTCTGTAACATTCTAAATGTATTTGCTGACACTTTTGATCATTTTGAAGCATCCTTTCTGAATAAAAGTATTAATTTCTTAAAAAAAATCTTGCTGACCCCTTTCTGATCTAAATTATATCATTACAAGTCATTAAAAGCATTGATTTACACTCATTTGCATCTACTTCAATCAAAAACATATTTATCTATATTTTCTTTAGCTTCTATTTTATTCTGTTTAGCCTTTAGTAGGTGGGTTGTCCTGGTGCCATTTACAAGTTATATGCCATATATGTCATTTTTCATATTTCTTTATATCTACACTCCTATATGAAGAACTCAAATAAAAGTTGATCAAATTAAATACAAAAAATATATTTCCATTAAAGCAACTGTCATAAAAGATACAGGTGCATCTCAATAAATTAGAATGTCGTGGAAAAGTTCATTTATTTCAGTAATTCAACTCCAATTGTGAAACTCGTGTATTAAATAAATTCAATGCACACAGACTGAACTAATTTGTTGAGATAGTGAATTGGTGGGTTTTTGTTAAATGTGAGCCAAAATCATCACAATTAAAAGAACCAAAGACTTAAACTACTTCAGTCTGTGTGCATTGAATTTATTTAATACACGAGTTTCACAATTTGAGTTGAATTACTGAAATAAATTAACTTTTCCACGACATTCTAATTTATTGAGATGCACCTGTATTATCCATATCACAGACAGAAGTCTGCCAAGTCTCTACTGACAATCTATCTGCCATGAAACTCTATTCAAAGACGGTTTAGAATTCATCCAGAGGTGAGAGGAACAAGCTTTTAAGAGGGTAAAGAACAGAAAAGGTTCTTTAATGAGTTCTGTCTCCAGCGCATTGTTAGAAAAGGGCAGCCTCTCTCGGCAGCTCCGCTCCACCGGCCTCCATCTCTGTGTCATTAAGTGACTAATTGTGTGCAGAGAGGGACGACACACATCCTCACACCAGCATCAAAGGAGGCAAAACCTACAAATTAATCTAAACAAACAGAGAGCGAGGAGGCTTTCTCTCAGTGCCTTTTCACCGTGTCACACAGTGTGAAAGATAAAGTGTGGGTTGCGTTGAATGCAAACCACTGTTGGATGTATATTTAAATGTGTCCCTTTCTCTACACGGCTCTCCAAACACAATGAATGACGGGATGCAAAGACTGCATATATAGATCATGAAGTGATGGCTGGCAGAGAGGAAATAGATGTACACTAAGTTGCATTAAGTGGTTACAGGAACAAGACATTATGAATTATTAATGTGAGGCTTTGTGAAAAACAGTTATGGGGTTAAGACTTAAAACATTGCAACACAAAATCATTCTTACAGGGTTCAGAGCAATACTGACAAGAACTGATGCATTGTATTGGGAAAATCTGAAGGAATACACCCTCTGGTGAACATTCAGTGAAATTGCAGTGCAAAAAATATAATATATGAAATATAGTATTATTCAATCACACAGCACAAAAAAACAAGTCAACTGCTGACAATGTGGCATATTTAAAAAGGTTTAAAATAAGTGTTTTATCGACAGCATTTTGCAGGCATAATGTTGATTACAACATAAAATCATTTTTTTATTTTTTTATTATTTTTCAAATTAAAAAAATGCAGTATCACAGTATTGCAAAAAATTACAGTATTGCAATGGAAGTAAACAAAAGAAGAAATCTAATGCTTGTAATTTTCAAGAAGCAATTACGTTAATTATTCAGTAACTTAAGTTTAATCAATAAGTTTTCTAAATCGTTCATTACCGTTGGGAATACTTCTCTAGGATGAACCTCTTGTTCTGTGTTAGTGAAGTGGATAGAGTTTGCTAATGTAAACAGTTATTTACAGATTGTACAGTACGTCACACCTATTTATGGTGCCATTTTTGGCATTTTTATGGCAACAAGTCATCATGAGTCCAGCGTTATAATAGTCAACTAAAACAAAATCTGAAACTAAAAACAAAAAAAGAAAAATTGTCACTTGAAATAAAATAAATGTTAACTGAAATAAAATAAATTATTTACAACATTTCACATTTAATTTAGTTTAACTTGATGTACTAAAAAAACTAAAACTGAAAAATATAATAAAAAACGATATAAAAAACACTATTAAAAATGACAAAAACACAAAGCAAAATTATTAAAATATTAAAAAATTAAATTAAATACAAAAAAATTAAATATAAAAAAATTAAAAATATTAATAAAAACTACAATAGGATTTAAATTATTCTAAAATAACAATGCATCAGTCTTCTTCCAGTAATTTTAAAACAGAATGAATTTTAAATCTCAATAATCAAAATTTACTTTTTTTTTTCAGCTTAAGGATGAGTCAAAATAATTTTCTGTACTTGAAATCATGCCACAAATGCTGTCAAGTTTTAATTGTATTGAACCTTGAGCACGAAGGCCAATGTCTGAAACAAAACAATGAAATCTGTTCACAGACACATGATGCACTTTAACTGAATTCATTTAACATTAACTGTATTTCTGTGAATATGCGGCCCACATACAGGGCTCACTACACTCTAAAAATAATAAACGGCTCAATTTAAATCTAGAACATTGATAGAACAAGAAAGTATGAGCATGGTTAACTGAAAGGTGAGCTGTCAGGAAGTGGTTTTAAACTGTCATTTCCATAGATATCTCACTCAGCAACACTACCAAAGATGTGCATCAAGTAATACAAAGACATGATGTTCTATATAATTAACAAGACTGAATTGGCTGCAAGATGAGGATTGTGCATAGAGGCCATTTGAAAATAGACATGCATGTAACCATCTTTCTATTTGCCCTAGATATCTGAACTATAAAATGGTCGTATGAAACAAAACTATTGAGCTCAACAATACAAGCTTTTCCACTGTTAGTACCTCTAACAACTTTCCACATGAGATCACTTCTCATTTTGAAATATCTACAGAGATTGTGGTTAAAAAAAATGTGTCAGACAAATAGGCAGCTGGGTTTAACACGGTTTAAAGGTTACAGAACAATGTGGGTGATAACATTTAAAACAGACTTTCTCTGAATGAGTTTACTAATTACAGTTGGTTTAGAAATTATATCTCTCCTACGTGGTAAGACAAGAAACCACAGAGCAAAACCTTTAACACAGGCGTGTACAAAATTTACAAGAATTACAGTGTTTAGCAGCCATAAAATATGGAAGAACGCACTTCAATCATGTTGTGGGTCAAGTAAAACAAACAAAAGAAACATAAACGATATTAAGATTGCAATTCATTCTATTTATATGTTTATTTAAGCCCTTGTTATTTGACTAAACTAGCTTATCTTAACCATGAATTTAAGAGACATCATACTTAATTATCTCTAGCAGCTACACAAGAAGTTTTTTTTTTTTAATACGAGCACAAATGGTAGCACAGGACAACAAAGTGTTTATCATTTTATCTTTTACAAGAGGAAAACCAACAGCCCGCATGCATGATTTGTCAATATCCTGTTTGGGTTTAAGTGCAAGGTCTAGAATTGAAACCAATGCTCGGACAATATGTTGCATTTAGGCCCACTGGATGGAAATTTTCGCACCCAGTCTTACATTACACATAAATATAAACATATTTTCATCAGATTCAGTCAATGGGACACTATACTTGTTATTTGGGGTCACACCAAATGCACATCATGAACCTTTGAAACATTTAAAAAATAAAGAAACAAATAAACAATGAAAATGAATAGAACAATGTAAATAACAAGTACAATAATAAGTAGCATTGATCATTTCTTAAAATATCCTTTCTGAAAACAGGTCAGTCATTGGAGTTAGTCAAACATTACTGAGAGGGGCATCACTGCACCAGCACAAGCTGACACCAAATGAACTTGATTAAAAAACAAATAAACAAGTGCAAAATAAACATCATCCTACCTGAGCAGGCTGAGCGGAGTCTGGTCAATATTCTGGATTTAAAAGCCGAAGTGTCACTTAAAGAACGAACTCGAAATACAGGAAAAACCTGGGGAAATGTCTTTAAGTATGAAAAACTGTCTTCCTCCGCCATTCCGCTGTTTTGCTTGTATTTTTAGTTCTACAAAAAAAGAAAAGTAGATTCGTTTCAGTGTCCTGTAACCTCGTTGTCAAGGTAACGCTACTAAATTCGGTCTCTACCCGTCAGTTTATCGGTTGTAATGAGGAACTCTGGTCACCTGTTTAGGAGAACTCAACTTTCAAAAACACGAAGTCGCCTAGCTACTTCTCCCTGCGTCTCATCAGAAGTTGTGTATGTCCTTCCTCTGCACTACATCAGCAAATGAGACAGAAACGGAAACACCTCCATCAAAATGATAATCATCTACAAAGACTTGAGGTCACACAACTCTTACAGCTGCAGTTCCGAGTCATCCCTGCAGGGAGCGAGATCTATCTATCTATCTATCTATCTATCTATCTATCTTCTATCTATCATCTATCTATTTTTTTCAAATACAAAAACATGTAGGCCTACTTAAGGTGTTAAAAGACAAGGGTATAGGCTTTAAATTCACATACAATTACATAATAGTCAGGGGGGGACAGGCAAGATTTATTTATTCTTTTTTTAATATTCTGCAATTATGTAGCTATATAATACTTTGCCACAATCATAATAGTAAAAATATATTTTAACATATACTACTGGGGTACAATGTCCAGTTCTATACTCGGGACAAGAATATTTAGTTTGGGATTGTACTAAGTAACAATTAGAAAACAGTATTGCAGATTATTGTAATTTACGGTTTCCTAAAAATGCAACAACAACAAAAAACCCTGAATAGGCCTACTTAATACTTTTGAAAACAGGACACTTTTCATTTAGGGTAAAAACAACAAGTGAACAAGTTCTTCAGGCAATTTCAAAAGTGGTTCAATGACTCACTCAGTTTCCTGTTTTTCATCTTATGAATGTCATGTCCATATCATAGTGTTCTCTCCAGTCTGTGTGACCAGTCTGACATCATAAGGTAAATATTGTATTGTGTGGTTTCCTATTACTAAGTTATCAACACACAGAAGCTGATTTGAAGCTGAACACTGAGGAAATCTGAGTGTCTCAATAATTTGTTAATGTGTAACTAACTTGACTGGTCATCATGCAATATATGTTATTTAAATACTGGGTAGACCCTCAGTCCACCATAGTCCAGCTCTAAAATCAGCAAAGCATCTGAAGGTAAATAGGAGATCTGTCTTTTTATTTTTTTACACCTTTATGACTGATTATCTATGTCTGTGATTAAAGACTTTATCATGAAATGATCCTTGGCTTAGTTGAATTACGCTTAACAGTGATAACCAATCCAGACATATTACTGCATATCAGTTTTGCTCTGGGACTTTGGACTGTAATTTTTGACGTAAATTCGTACATAACTATATATTACTAAAAATGTTTTGTATTTTAATTGTATTTTTAAAGTCACACAATCCTTTAAAAATCATTGGAATGTGCTGATTTGGTGCTCAAGAAATATTTCTTATTATCATCAGTGTTGAAAACACTTGTCCTGTTTAATATTTTTGTGGAGACTATAATACATTTTGAATTTGAATCTGGTAATTTTTTTTTCTTGGCAGTGTAACAACAAAAATGGGAAAAAAAATTCTCAATGATTTTGCTAATTTTATGAAAATTACCTGATATTTTTTTTATGGTGAAAACAATTGCCGAAATTCCCCAAATAGCCAAAACTGACACTACATGCTATTTTTTTTTTAAATAAAATAAAATAAAATAATTGCCCATAATGATGTTACACACAACAGGAAAAAAATAATGTAGGAAAGCACTTGTCCTTAACAAAACAATTTTAAGGTTTCTTTGCTGAAAAGAAAGTTTAAGAGAACTGCGTTTATTTTGTCAAATTTTAAATGTCCTTTCTGTCACAAAAGCATAAATTTCTTTTTAAAAAATCTTGTATTTTTTTTACATTATAATCTGCATCTACATATTATCTAAGAGCATTTTGCTGAACTGGAATGTACTCATTCGACTCTTTGCTCCTTTATCTGAGTCGTGTTCTCTGCTCTTTGGTTCAGTAGGGTTATTGCACTCAAATGCAGCTCAGTACAGAGACCTCAGCTGCTGTAAGGCAGAAACTGGTCAATTTATTCTGTGAAAAATGGGTGAAAGAGCAGAGATCGATCAGCCATAGCAAACAGCCCCCTGTTGGCTCTGAAGTGCAAAAAAGTGTTGATATGTTGACATGTCTATTATAATTCAATGTATTGTGCGATAAGTTTTGTTAGGATTCTCATGCAATAGCAAGTCCATGTCATAATCAAATCAGTTTAATATCCAATAGGCACACCTGAAGGATTTCCCATTAAGATGAACAAGATGTTGCTCACTCTCATAGTGGTTTCCTGCTTTGCAATGGGAACAACCAATCGAGTGTATGTCCACCCTTTCAACCTCTTTAGCTCTGAAAACATCAGCTGTGAGGTTATTCAGAATGAGGAACACAAGCCCTTCGAGACCATCCATCCACTGACTCCTCTTCAGGAAGGAACTGAGCCAGACCCACGACCCAGTAGCACAACAGAGAACCTAAAAAACCTCACCCAACGGACCGCTGTGTTAGCAGAACTGCAGAATTCACTCGGGCTACGCATGTACCAGGCACTTAGTCGTACACAGAAGCATGCAAACACACTGCTGTCACCCCTAAACGCCTTTGGGGCTTTGGTGACCCTCTACCTGGGAGCATCCAAAAAGACTGCTATTTCCTACCAACAGCTGTTAGGACTCAACCTGGAGTCTGAACAGGCCGACTGTGCGTACTTTATTGATGGACACACAGTGTTGCGCACACTCCAGGCCATCAGCGCGCATGTAGACGAATCACGAAATGAGCTCAGGACCCTCATGTGGACTTTCATTAACAGCGACGCTGACCTTTCCAAAGACTTTTTACGTGGAACACAAGACTTCTCAGATGACTCTTTTGTCCGAGCAGTGGACTTCTCAAAAGCAAAGGAAGCTGAGGTGCAGGTAAACAACTTTATTCAGAAAACATCAGACAGCAAGGTTAAGGACCTGTTTAAGGGTGTTACTCCAAAAACGGACCTGCTGTTTGCTAGTTCAGTGCATTTTAAAGGTGAGTGATTCGAAAATGTTTCAAATATGTAAACTGTGCATCCTCATTTAATGAAACTATCTGAAGAATATTCTAAATATATATATTTCATTATGAACCTTGAAAGACTTTAGTAAGACTTTTAGCAATATGTTTTTTTTTTATTTCCCTTTTCCTTTATTGGTTTTTGGGCAAAAACAGTACTTCAGTGGCTAAAATGCCCCATCAAGTATTTAGGAGGAGAAAGAAAAATAGCCTATTTTTATTGTTATGTGCAACAGAAAAAAATAATGTAGAAAATAGACTCATGGAGGCACTTCAAAAAATTAAATAAAATAATTGCCCATTTTTGTTGTTACACACAACAGAAAAAATAATGTTGGAAATAGACTCATTGAGGCACTTGAAATTAAATAAAATAAATCACCTGCTGCAGGTTGGGTACAGTAGCTTTTTAAAATCTGTAATCTTTTCCAGGTAACTGGAAAACTGCTTTGCAACCTGAAGCAACCAGTGATCAGAAGTTCTGGACTCATGAGAACTCAAGTGTCGAAGTCCCCTTTATGATGCACACTGGAAACTACATGTACTTCAATGATGTTGGCAGGAAGTGCTCTATAGTCAAGCTTGGTCTCAGTAAGAGGACCTATATGCTGCTAGTGCTGCCTAATGAGGGAGCTAGCCTGCAGGACATTGAGAAGCAGCTCTTAACAGTCATACCTACATGGCATCGAAATCTAAAAGAAACGTGAGTACATGTTTAGTCTGAGAAAGTGCACACCGAAAATGGTAAATAAAATTACCTCAAAGACCAATCACAGATTTACTTGTTTGTGTTGGTAGATATCTGGAACTATCGTTGCCCAAATTCTCCTTGACTGCTGTGACAGACCTGAGATCAGTTCTATCTGAAATGGCAGTGGAAAAATACCTCATGGGCTCTGATGCCAACTTCAGAAGACTGAGCAGCAAGGAGAACTTCACCGTTGATAAGGTAAAATTCTGTTTATGGCAAGAGTTTGCACCAACTGAAGGACCAGTCAAATTTGACTATAACCAGTTCTGACCAGCTGTAACAATTACAAATAACTACCTTTATTATCAACATGGTCCACACAGTTTTTTTCGTTATACTGTAGAACAAATGACAACAGTAATCGGTAGGCTGTATACCTCCATATATCTTACAGGTCCTCAACAAGGTTGTGTTTGAGATGACAGAGAGCGGCTCGGAGGTTCAGAATAAAACTGAAGATGGAAGGGTTCCCCATAAAGTCACGGTCAACCGGCTGTTCTTCTTTTCTATTGTAGAGGGGAACTCTAATGCCATACTCATGCTCGGCAAAATCGTCAATCCAACGACCTAAAAAACTCCATTTTGGTGATGACTTTACATTATATTACAATACAAGCAGTGTTTTAATGTTTCCATTTAACTAATAACCATATGTTAGATTAATGGATACCATCAAGTCAGTGTCTACCTGTTATATCTTTGCTCAGGCAATCTTTTTAGGGATTTTCAGGACTTGGGTGTTTTATATTTTAACATCTGCTAATTCAAAATGTTTAATATAGAGTTTGTTTCTATGCATAACATGGTTACTTGAATTAATTGCAATTATTTTAATGATGTATTCATAATAAGAACTATGTACAAACTCCATTTATGTACTGTTAAAACAAATTAAAGTTGAATATTTATAAATAAATATGACTTGGAGGGATGCTCATTTTTAACCAAAACTGCAAAATGATTCAACAAAAATGTAAGAAACCAAAAATCCTTTAAATAAAAGCAACTGTACAGTATGAAATGTCATAATCATCAAACAACCCACATTTACTTTATCCAGTAAGGAGTGAATCATTTAAGCACATGAACAATAAACAATTTTACAATCTTCATTATGCGTCTAAAAAAACCACAGTATAGTACTTCAACACAAACTTTCAGTTGAGGGTTCACTGGCCTTTTCTAAATGTTCGACAAGGCCATTTTAGTAACAAATTAACTCTCTACACACACCACACTCACAAATATTTCATACTATCCTCATTTTTTATTGTTAAATCTTAGTAGTGCCATTCTTACCCAGTGAAACACAAACTCCAACACCCATTTTGATATTTAAAAAAAAAAAGAGAAGAAAAACAGGTAATTTGAGCATTAAACCTCTTTAGCGTTTGCACTGTTGATGCTATTTGGCAGGGTTCACCAGAGCTAATGTCTGAGGAGAAAAATTTCTGACAGATACAACTCCAGTCAAACACCTGTATTGAGTGCAATGTTTTGATGTAACCACATATGATAGGACACGAGAGCTTATAGAACTTTATATGCTGAGTGTCATACAAAAAACTCTATTCTTTTCTCCAATAAGTTTGATCCATAAATTATATGACTTTTCTGGCCATATTATCCCATATAGTTCAACAATAAATAACTTATCAGAGTAAATCACATTCTTT